TAAACAGAGTTTTATTTTTTTATATTTTTTTTTATATTTAAACGCCATTTAACAAAGAAAAATCAACCCCAAAAAATGAGTCCGCGTGTCATAGGTTCAGCATCACTGGTGTAGGGCAATGGTTAGATGAGAATAGAAAGGAGTTTTGGACTTTTTTCTTTTGGCCTTTGTAACCCATTTATTCCTTTATGTATCATTCAGCAGATAATCATTGAACCCTGTGATGTATTAATACCCTCTTCTAGGTGGCTGGGATACATTAGTGAACAAAATTGGTAAAGGTCTCTGCTTTTATGGAGCTTACATCCTAGAAGTAGACAAAAATTATATGATATCCTAGACCAGTGATGGCGAACCTATGACACGCGTGTCAGAGGTGACACTCGAACTCATTTTTTGGGTTGATTTTTCTTTGTTAAATGGCATTTAAATATATAAAATAAATATCAAAAATATACATCTTTGTTTTACTATGGTTGCAAATATCAAAAAATTTCTATATGTGACACGGCACCAGAGTTAAGTTAGGGTTTTTCAAAATGCTGACACTCCGAGCTCAAAAGGTTCACCATCACTGTCCTAGACAGTGGTTCTCAACCTTCTGGCCCTTTAAATACAGTTCCTCATGTTGTGACCCAACCATAAAATTATTTTCGTTGCTACTTCATAACTGTAATGTTGCTACTGTTATGAATAGTAATGTAAATATCTGATATGCAGGATGGTCTTAGGCGACCCCTGTGAAAGGGTCGTTCGACCGCCAAAGGGGTCACGACCCACAGGTTGAGAACCGCTGTCCTAGAAGGTGATGGCACCTCAGAAAAATAATTAAAAGTAGGAAAAGGTAAGGAGGGTTGAGTGGGAGATGTCAGGGCTTGTGGTAGGATGGCCATTTTAAATAGGCTGGTAAGCTTATGCTTGTTGATGGCATCTGAGCGGACTTAAAGGAGGCCTGGGAAGGGGTTCTCCGGAAACACCCGGATGTGTGTCTGGTGTGTTCAGGGAGCAGCAAGGAGCCTAGTATATCTTGAGCCAATGTTTTTGAGCAGGAAACTAGTATAGTTTCTTATTACTTTTAAAGATTGTTGTGAATAATGAAGTGTCGGAGCTTCTTTAGGGGCGTGGTTAGCAAATACCTGAAGTGGTCCACAGTGGGAGGGGAATGGGAGCCGAGATGGGTGAGGGGGATACCCTGAAAGCCCTATATATATGTAAACACTATGTATTTCCTTCCTTACATGTGTACTACATGTTTAGCTAGGAATAAAAAAAGGTGTTTACCATTCTTAAAGTTGAAGCCACCAGAACAGTAAGAAATGGGGGAAGTTTTGTAAGAAAAAAACTACATGTGGATACCTGTACTTGTTCTACCTTGAGGGGAGGAAATGGAGAGGGACTGGGTCTGGTCTATTTTGATTCCAGATCCCAAGAGCTCTTACTGTTCATATGTCACATGGAGTGGTATGTTTACCCATCCATCTCCACACTGGACTGTCAGTTCCTTTAGGGCCTTGTAACTCCTCTCGTCCCTCGCTCCAAGGTACATAGGTGGTAAGTGGGTGTTACATGAACAAACATTCATAACCACTTAGCCCAAGCAGCAATTTTACACTTTCTGCATTTCCTGCTCCTTACATGGCAAAAATGATATTTTTCCAATTATAGTGACACTAATTTTGGGGGGAAAAATAATTGCATGAAACAACATGACTTTCACAGTTTTAAGAAATTTTGTCTTAAAGACAATGTTAAGATGTCAAACCCTGTTCCTCTAAGTCTAAGACCTATTTCAAAAGTATGATTCTTTTCCTGACTTTCCTGTACTACCTTTTTTTAAAAAATCCTCACCCAAGGATACGCTTCCATTGACTTTTAACAGAGAGTGAGAGAGAGAAAGAGAGAAACATTGATCAGCTACCTCCCATACCAGCCTGCACCTGGGATCGAATCCACAATCTAAGCATGTGCTCTGACTGGGAATCAAACCATCACCCTCTGGTGTATGGGACAGTGCTCCAATCAACCAAGCCACCTGGCCGGGGCTGTATTACTTTTACTAAAATATACCTTATTAAATATACCTTAAATATATCATCTAGACCAGGGGTGGGCAAACTTTTTGACTCGAGGGCCACAATGGGTTCTTAAACTGGACCAGAGGGCTGGAACAAAAGCATGGATGGAGTGTTTGTGTGAACTAATATAAATTCAAAGTAAACATCATTACATAAAAGGGTACGGTCTTTTTTTTTTTTTTTAGTTTTATTCATTTCAAACGGGCCGGATCCGGCCCACAGGCCGTAGTTTGCCCACGGCTGATCTAGACCTTTTTTTTAAACAAAAACAAAGTCATTTATGTTATCTCTTCCTTAGCATATCTATTTGTTTTGATGAATTTCCTTTTTTTTCTAACTGCGCATGTTTTTTCCTTAAACATTTCCAATTACAATATTTTAAATTTCATATAGTTTTTATGAGGGTTTTTTTAAATCACTTTTAATGGCTGTATTATATTGCTTTGTATGGACATGTTAAATTTGTTTAACCATTCCTCATAAGACATTTAGATTGTTTCTAAAATTTTTACTATTAATGAATAATACTCATTTCTATGTAAATCAATATTTTAAAATTATTAATGAGGTGGGGGTTTTTGTTTTGTTTTGTTTTGGTATTAAGTCTTTGAAATCCAGTGTGTATTTTGCACTTACCACACATCTGGTTTGGACTAGCCACATTGCAGGTGCTCAGTAGCCACCTGTGGCTTGTGGTTTACTGTATTAGCGTAGATCTAGAATGTGATTGTCTGACTTACTGGCATTTTTGGCTTGGGAGAGCAGAGTGAGTGTAGGGGAGGGAGCAGTGGGTCAGGGATGAGGTTCAAGATGAAGTTAGGGAGATAGTGGGGGAACAGATTGTGAAGGCCTTTGTAGGCCATTGTAAAGATTTGGCTTTGAATTGGGATGCCATTAGAGGTTTTAAAGCAAAGAAGTGACGTGATCTGACATGTTTTAACAAGATTACTCTAGTTGTTATATGGAAAACAGACTTGGGAGGGACACAGTAGTGGAAGGAGGAGAGAGGGAAGTTAGGAGGTTGTAGCAATGGTCCAGGTAAGAGATGATGGTGGCATGGACTAGGGTGAGGATGGTAGGAATAGGGAAAAGTAGGGAGAAATTAAAGGTTTGTACGCATGATCAAATTTGTGTTTTAGAGAAGGGCCTTCCACCGCCCTCCACTGGGGATTGTGCCCACAACCCAGGCATATGTCCTGACCAGAACCAAACTATGACCTTCCCAGTTCATAGGTCAGCACTCAACCACTGAGCCACACCAGCCGGGCTCATTGGCATTTTCATTCTGCCACAGTGCATGTGGTCAAGTCTGACACCTAGTAAATACTAGTGTCATCTTACGTGACACAGTCAGATCCCTGACCTGGTCAGAAAAATTTGCCACGTTTCAACCCTTCCCTATTCCTGTGGGGACACAGCCACAGGGATGTGATATGGAGGAGCCAGTGTTGTGTATGAATGCAGTCATGCACTTCACTAAGCAGAGGGGGCCACTCCTGTTTCTCTAAAATTCAGATCTCTGCCATCTCCTTGAGGCACAACTCTGGAAACAGATGTGTGGTATGGGTCAGGCACTTGTTGAAACTAGTGTTTTAGAGTTTAAAAACAATTTTATAGTAGCTGCCCTCATAATGCTCACCATCTAACTAGAAAAACAAGCATTCGAATAATTGTGTGTGTGTCAGGGGGCTTAAAGGACATAATACAGTGATTGGCCCTCCAGTGGGGAATCGGGAGGTTTCAGTGAAAATCTGCTAACCAATATCTGAAGTATGAAATGGAATTAGCAAAGAATGATATTTCCCAGGAACGGAAAAACACCAGTTCCGCTGTGGCCAACCACATGGGGAGAAGGGCATGGACTAAGGCAGAAACCTCCAAGTAACCTTCCCTCGCAGCTCCAGCGACCTTATGGCTCTGCTTTCAACATCTAATTGTCTTTACCATAGTTTCTTATATCCTTCTTGAGATAGAAATCTAACCAGGCCATGGCGACAGGTGTTTCATGGCTTAACAAGGCCTAGCAAGACAAGCAAAAATCAACCCACAAACTTCAGAACTGCCAATTGAGAGTCATGGAGGACCCTCAGCTAGTCTTGTTTCACTGGGGAGGTGAGGAGAAAGTGGTTGGAATGGAATAAGAAACATGAAAAGACCTTTGACCTAGCAATTCCAATTCTAGCTAGCTATTCTAGAGAAGTTCTGGCATAATTGCACAAACAGTATTTAATGCAGTAATGTTTGCAATAGCAAAATATTGTAAATCATCCAAATGTCTATAAACAGGACCTGGTCCATTCATTCATTCTCAGGGTATTTGTCAGCATTCACTGTCAGTCAAGGTATATATCTGGTGAAGACAGATAAAGTTCTCATGGAGCTCATAGTGGGGGAGGCAGACAAGCTCACAAATAAGCAGTCTCAGATAAGGGTTAGAAATACAAGTATCCTTTTTAATCTATTTGATTCCTGAGTTAAGGTGGCAGGAATTTGGGCAGTGAGAGAGAACTGTGTCAGAAAGAAAATTAAACATGGTAATATGATGGAGAGTAAATTAAAGGAAGGTGTTGAGACAGCTTTTCTGAGGAAGTGATGCTGGAGATAAGCCTGAAATAACTAGATGTCAACCATGTAGAGCAGTGGTTCTCAACCTTGGCTGCACATCAAAATCACCTGGGAATCTCTTTAAAATCCTGATTTCTGGGCCTCATCCTCCGGAAATTCTGTTTCTTTGTTACTAATGTTGTGGCCCCACCCCATAACAAAGAAACAGTGGTTGAGAACCACTGTTCTAGTGGGGGAGAGAGTAACAAGCATAAAGGCCCGGGTGGGAACAATCTTGAAGTATTCAAGGATCAACAAGTTCAGCATGGCTAGAGCCCAGTGAGTGGTGGGGAGTTTGAATTTTATTCTTAATACAATAGGTGCTGTTGGCTTTAGATAACAGGAATATTATTATATATGGAGTCTATGAAGTAATTCAGAGGGTTAAGGTGAAGTTATATGTATTGCTATGGGAAGATCTCTAACTATTACATAGTTTAATGTAAAAATAAGTTGTAGAACACTGGTATTTCACAAAACAAGACACTGGGTGTATGTGTGTAAGAAACACGGAATAGGGACTCTTTAAGTGTATGCACCAAACTGTTAACGGTGATTATTTCTAGGGTTTAAATTAGGATTGGTGATGGGGATGAAGGAGGGCTGCCACTGCCACTTTTTACTTCCCACCATATTTGGATTTTGTAACAAAGGAAGTACATGGGCTGGGAGGTTGTGATTGCATGAAAAGGTTTGGCTTTGAAGGGAAATACAACGAAAGCTAAGGATTGCAGGATATACTGCTCCTCATGACTTTCTGGCCTGAATATTAGATTTCTTTATATAAGTGTGTAAACAACTACTATGTAAGTGTGTAACCCAACATTGTCCCCTCAGGATATTAAATGTGATCATTGTTTCTAATAGACTCTACAGTGTGTTCCCAGTATTGCCATGAGAATGTTTGTGGTTGATCCTACTTGAGCAGGAATGTGATCCTACAGGAATCAGTGACATTCAAGGATGTGGCTGTGGACTTCACCCAGGAAGAATGGCACCACATGGCCCCTGCTCAGAGGCGCTTGTACCGGGATGTGATGCTGGAGAACTACAGCAACCTGGTTTCTCTTGGTAAGGACCACATCTTAATGTCTTGCCTATTGGTGGGTCTTTCCTTTCTCAGTTACTAGGGTTGTGGAGCTCTGTGGCTGTAGCTTGGGTGGCTGTGAGCAGGGTGTGAGTGTTCAGGGTCAGAGCTTGTTCATCTTTCTGGGACCCAGCCTTATGGGTTTCTGTGCCTGCTCTTTAGGTAAAAGGTCTTTCTTTTGCAGAACTGGGAGTAGGCCGTTTGATTGCATAATATCTCAAGTTGCCCGTTTTCTTTTCCTTCAGAGTTCATGAGGATCAAGGACTACTACTGACTTGTAGGAGGCTTCTTTGTCCACTTGCACAAACAAACAAATCTTGTGTTTTTACCCATGAGCAGGATATCAAGTTTCCAAGCCAGAGGTGATCTTCAAATTGGAGCAAGGAGAAGAGCCATGGCTATCAGAGGGAGAAATCCAAAGATCTGTCTGTCCAGGTAAATGAGTGAGGATCAGGCTTGTAGGAACCAGTGCAGACAGTGGCATAGCTGAGGGAGTGGGAAGCATTTTCAGATTGCTGTCCTGGGAGCTCATAGACAGGCAGAGGAGGCTGAGCTATCATGACACCTCTGTTTATCTCCCTTCTCCAATAGGGTGCTCCTGCCGCTGGTAGGTCTTAGAGGAAAAGATACCACTTTGTTCTACACTTAGTATACCATTTCTCCTGTCCTATAACCCTACTTGCTGGATTATTTTCTCCTCTGGTACCCAAGTCTCCCATCATTATTTAGCGATCCCTTTTCTTATTCATTCAGACATAATTGAACTTCCATGTCTCCTTGTTTCGTCTCACTGCTCTCACTGTCAGCTGCCTCAGACTTGTAGGAAATATCCACAGCCTTGATTCTTCCTCTCTTCATAATTCGTTTTTAGACTTCTTTCCCTCACTACACCTGTCTAGGGAGGAACATGGTCTTCCATCCATTCTGTGGCCATGTTGATTTGACTCATTTCCTCTCTCCACAGTTCCTAGAATATCATTCTTTCCTGGTCTCTCACCTTGTTAAGTGCTTCTTGGCTTTAGGTCTTTGGCTTTTCTTGCTTTTCCCTCTAAGCAAATATGCCTTAAGGCAGCGGTTCTCAACCTGTGGGTCGTGACCCCTTTGGTGGTCAAACGATCCTTTCACAGGGGTCGCCTAAGACCATCCTGCATATCAGATATTTACATTACGATTCATAACAGTAGCAACATTACAGTTATGAAGTAGCAATGAAAATAATTTTATGGTTGGGTCACAACATGAGGAACTGTATTTAAAGGGCCAGAAGGTTGAGAACCACTGCCTTAAGGAGTCTGTCCTCCAGGCTCCTCCCCCTTCTTTGTTACAAAAAGGGTGCCTGCCTTCTGGTGGTTGCAGCTCTTTATTTATGCTATAGACTCAAAAATCATCCTTGCTTGTACCCTGGTCACTTATTCCTTTTCACAGAACACCTTCACTAGGAAGTCCCACTCAGTTCTTATTAAAGATATAAAATCTGAATTAATCTTCTTGCCCATCACTCCTTTCTACCCTGGCCTGTTAGAAACCTTTTAGTATTTCTTATCTCTCAGACCAGATGCCATAGTCTTTTTCTTTCAACCCAGGTTATTTTCCTTCTTTCTTGCCTTTAACTTCCACTGGTGTCATCTTCAACCAAACCCCAGACTTAGATTACTATAATTTCCAGTTAAAATTGCTCCCTCCATCTTTTTTTATAATCCATATTAGATTTTTTTAAAATTGATTTCAGAGAAGGAGAGGGAGAGAGAGATAGAAACATCAATGATGAGAGAGAATCATTGATCAGCTGCCTGCTGCACGTCCCCCACTGGGGATCGAGCCCACAAGGCATGTGCCCTTTGACCAGAATCGAACCTGGGACCCTTCAGTCTTCAGGCTGATGCTCTATCCACTGAGCCAAACCAGCCAGGGCCCATCCTTTTAAAGTGTACACTTCAATGGTTTTTGGATATACAGTGGCGCCTTGACTTACGAGTGTCCCGACTGACTAGTTTTTCGAGATAGCTGTCTCTCGGCCGATATTTTGCTTTGAGTTGCGAGCTAAAATTCGGGTTACGAGCCAGCTTCAGATACCCCACCGCTAGTTGGCGCAGCGAACGTCACAGTGAGCGCTACAACATCAGCCCAGCATCACGTGTCTCACTCGTTCACTTTTTGATTTGACATGCGAGTAATTTGAGTTACGAGCTCCGTCACAGAACGAATTAAACTCGTAAGTCAAGGCTCCACTGTATACAGAGTTGTGCAACCATCACCACTATGTAATTACAGAACATGTTCACCCCAAAAGGAAACTCTGCACCTAGTAGCAGTCACTTTCTATTTCCCATACCCCAGCTTCTGGCAACCATTAATCTACTTTTTCTCTGTATGGATTTTCCTATGCTGGGTATTTTCTGTAAATGGAATCATATAATATGTAGCCCTTTGTGACTAGCTTCTTTCACTTAGCATATGTTTTTAGGGCTCATCTAACATGTATTACTTCATTTCTTGATATTCATTTCTTTGTATTTATTCCATTGTATGCATATACCACATTTTATTTATTAATCACTTGATGGGCCATATTGGACATTTTTAATGCTTTATCTTTATAAACCACCCACCTCTGAAAAAACCTTGCTGTTACTCCCTATATCTCATTATAGAAAATAAACTCCCTTGATTTAAATGTCTGCATCAAACCTTCCAGTATGATCTTTCTATTCCCACCAAAGCAACCTTCACTTAGGTTGAACTTCTTTTAATGTTCTTTGTAAGTAGCATATACTTTCCCTCATTAGATAATGCTTTCTGCCTATCCAAAACCATCTATTCTTTTAAGTTCAAGGTCTGTCTAATTCATGAAACCTAATGCATACTAACATATTTACTTCTTCCTTCCCTGATCACAAATACCATTTATATCATCTCTACCACACAAATTCAGATTAATAATATATTACTCAATGATTTTTTCTTTGTCTTTTTATCTTTCTTTTTAGTTGTCAAAAGATTGAGTCTAGATTTCAAGCTACTAGAGAGTCTGTTTTTATTTCTATATATTCTATCTGTGGTGCAAAGCATGTTAGCAAGCAGTTAGAAATTACCCTATTGATTGTTATAGAAACTGGCTTGGGAGAGAATTTTATTATTCACTTATTTCAACAAATATTTCTTGAATTGTTCCACTGAGAAGTATTCTAAAAGAAATACAAAGCATTCCCTGTCCTTAGAAATTTAGAATTGAGTCTTGTTACAGGGTAAGGAATTTTGGTGTTTAGGGCCCCTTAGTTGCTATGTTATTCCCTCTTAACATTTTATTATGAAAATTTTCAAATATGTAAGAAATTATACAGTGAACACCAATCGTATAGTTAACATTTTGTTATATTTGCGTTATCATATACCTCTTCATCTATCCATCTGTCAATTTATCTTTTATGTATTCCAAGTAAGTTGCAGATGAGTATATTTCATTCCTACATTTTTTCATGTGCTTATCATTAACTAGAGCTCAATATTTGTTAATGGTTTTTAGAGATCAATTTATTAGGCAGATTAAAATAAATCCTTTTTGGTTAAGCAAGGTGACTAGTGTAGAATCAGAGCTCAAATAGACAAAAACCACAGCCCCACTTGTAAGGGCAAGAATGATTTGCCTCCTGAAATATTTTTCTCAGTGTGTGACATCTAGCCCTTGATCTTCAAGTGTATCAAAGAATCATTTTTGTTAGATCACTGGCTGCAGATTTTTCACTTCAGGGTTTGACTATCTGGAGCCTCAGAGATAACATTTAAAGAAATTATAAAACAGATATATTAGGGAGATAGATTCTATAGTGGTTTGTAAAATGGACAGGAGTCATAGAGAGCAGATAAGATCCTGCAAGATGGACTGTGATCCTTTTTCCTTTGTATCTATGCCTAACACTTTCTTAATCACTTATCTCCTTACTCCCTAATCAGCCCTTCTAGCTGGGCTTCCTAGTTCTGAACTTATCATTCATTCTGGATCTGCAGTCTGTATTATCATATCTCTTCACTCTTCCTTTCCTCCATTTTGGGTATTCTCCCCAAGCCACAGGGCTGACTTCAAAACAGAGTCGTGTATAATTTAAATCTCATTTCCTCATTCCTACTGTAGCAGTTTGTTTCAGCAGGAGGGATTAGGGGACTTTTGCACTTTGGATTTCTTTCAGACTGGAAGACCAGGCCTGTGGCCAAATCATCAAATCTACAGCAGAGCACATCTGAAGTATCCCTGCACACAGATGATCTCTCATGTGCTACATTAGAAGATGTGAGTAATCAGTTAGAGAGGCACCAGGAAAACTGGAAGAGGTATCTGGGGCCAGATGTATCCACCCAAAAGAAAATAATCACACCAGAGAAAACCTTGGAGCATAATAAATTTGGTGAAAACTCTAGATTGAACACAGACCTGGTTACACAACTGAACATTCCTTCAAGGTCTAGTGAATGTGATACACTTGGAATCAATTTGGGACATAATTCAGACTTACTTAATCAGAATAATATCCTTGTAAAAAAGAAACCTTATAAATGTAATAAATGTAGAAAAGCTTTCATTCATAGATCATCACTTACTAAACATGAGAAAACTCATAAAGGAGAGGGAGCTTTTCCCAATGGTACAGATCAGGGAATTTATGCTGGAAAGAAACACCATGAATGTACTGACTGTGGGAAAACCTTCCTTTGGAAGACACAGCTTACTGAGCATCAGAGAATTCACACAGGGGAGAAACCCTTTGAATGTAATGTGTGTGGGAAAGCCTTCAGGCATAGTTCGTCCCTTGGTCAGCATGAGAATGCACATACCGGAGAGAAACCCTATCAGTGTAGTCTCTGTGGGAAAGCCTTTCAGCGCAGCTCCTCCCTTGTTCAACACCAGAGAATTCACACTGGAGAGAAACCCTATCGATGTAACTTATGTGGGAGGTCTTTTAGGCATGGCACGTCCCTCACTCAGCATGAGGTCACACACAGTGGAGAGAAACCCTTTCAGTGTAAAGAATGTGGGAAAGCCTTTAGTCGATGTTCTTCCCTTGTCCAGCATGAGAGGACTCATACTGGAGAAAAACCTTTTGAATGTAGCATATGTGGGAGGGCTTTTGGTCAGAGCCCATCCCTTTATAAACATATGAGGATTCATAAGAGAGGGAAACCTTACCAAAGCAATAACTATGGCATAGACTTCAAGCACAGCTCATCTCTTACTCAAGAAGAAAGCACTCTGACAGAAGTGAAATCCTACCATTGTGATGACTGTGGGGAAGACTTCAGTCACTTTACAGACTTTTCTGACCATCAGAAGATCCATACTGGACAGAGCCCCTATGATTGTGAGCAGACCTTCAGTCAACAATCTATTTCTCATCCTGGAGAGAAACCCTATCAGTGTAATGTATGTGGGAAAGCTTTCAAAAGGAGTACAAGTTTCATAGAGCATCACAGAATTCATACTGGAGAAAAACCCTATGAATGTAATGAATGTGGAGAAGCCTTCAGTCGACGCTCATCACTTACTCAACATGAGAGAACCCATACAGGAGAGAAACCCTATGAATGTATTGACTGTGGGAAAGCCTTCAGTCAGAGTTCATCCCTCATTCAGCATGAGAGAACTCATACTGGAGAAAAACCCTATGAATGTAATCAATGTGGGCGAGCCTTCCGAAAGAAAACCAATCTGCATGATCATCAGAGAATTCATACTGGAGAAAAACCCTATACTTGTAAGGAATGTGGGAAAAACTTCAGTCGAAGTTCAGCTCTCACTAAGCACCAGAGAATTCATATGCGAAATAAACTCTAAGAACCCTGGAATTTTTTTTAAAAATGTGCAGAAAGCTTTAGCTAAAATATTGTTCATACTCATTGTCAAAGGATTCTTGCTGGATAAAAAGCTTGAGAATGTCATGAGTTATGTGTATTTGTATGTTGTGTGCAGAGAAAACTCTGCTAGTAGACAATTTTTTTCAATAAAAGCCACATTCTTAGATCTGGTTACAAACTTTTATAAAAACAACTACAAACATAATATATAACCTGTTGGAAATGCTAAGCCTATATATTGGACTTTATAAAACTTTTTAACATATATGTGCAGGAGATTACAAACTTTCAATAATTTGACTTGCAACTTACTGTTTACAGCCTTTTTTGTAGACAAAATTCCTGCATTAATGACCAAAACTCATTTTAAAAATTGCTTGACAACTGCATTCAATTGCAGCTCTTATATTGAATGCACCATGGAAACCAATTCCACCTCCAGAAATTCACCATTCAAAGAATTAGATCAGCGGTCCAGCTACTTCATTGTACAGATGAAGAACCTGAAAACCAAAGATGTGAAATGGTTTGCACAGTATGCTGCAGCTTATGGTGGTAAAACTGGTATAGGATGCAGGTCTCCTGGCTCTTTGGCTCCAGGGTCTTGACACTGAAAAGCTAATTTGGAATTCAGAGGGCTTTTAAATAAATTTTAAATCAGATGCACAAACATTTAATGAGCACTTAAGAATTCATAAAAGCATAAGAGGCAGCAAGTTTAAATTTGTCACAAACTTATTGAAAGCAACTTGTTAGAAGCTTACAAACCAAAATGTTAACAGAAACTAAATGGTTGAACTAAAGTATCATAATTATACTTTCAGCTAACATGTCAGTTTTATAGAGCTATTAAGTCCTTCTCTGCACTGCCCCAAGCTTCCTATATTGGATCAATGAGAAAACAACACAAAACTAAGACAAGAATTTTCCCCAAAATTAATTTGACTGTGGAGAAGTATAAATTCAGTTACCTCTTGCCATAAAATTTGCCTTTAAATTAACACATGTGCCAAGGAAATATTTCACCATTAAAAAAAAATAACTTTTTAAGCTTGGTGGTGCTTTTCCATCCATAAAGCCTGAGAGCTAAGTAAGTTTCAGTAGCCCACTCAAATCCTTAGTGTCCCTTAATGGGAACTCATAGGCTATCCCAAAGGAATTTCAAGAAGCTTTGTTGGTTCATTGGCACTAACAGTGCAGATAAATTTAGAAGCAATTGTGGACATTGACCCCTTTCATGCACGAGCATCTCCTCTCTAAGATAAAACAATTTTTCCACCTTGATGAGTCATTGGGAGGAGTAATATGAGTGGTGATGATGAAACCTTTCATCCATCATCCTTGTCTAATCCTGGATAACAGGAGGCAGCTCCCAAACATTCTTCATAGTTCTTTGCAGGAAAATGTGCCTGGGGGTTGAAATATGGCATGCCTAGCCCATTGTCTATCATATATGGAGCAAGATGGGATACTCCCTAGCAGATTTGCCCTTCTAAAACATTAGCCATTTGAAACATGCCTTGTTTATGATATGCCATGCTGAGTGCACATACAATGCCAAAGTCATTCTTGTATTGTCTGGTACATAGTTTGACAATATGTAATTATACTCAAACCTTCCCCATTGATTGGCCAAGATGCCTATCAGGAACTCATTTTGCTGCTGATTGTTTGGGGATCCCCATAGTGGACTATTTGTAAAAATGGCATGAATTGTAACCAGTTGAGTGCTACCCTACTGTTAATAGAAGTTTATAAAGACTAGATCTAGAAGACCCAAAGGAGACCACTGGTTTGTGTATGGAGTCTGGCCTAAATCCAACCAATCTCTGAATCTCAGCACATCTTCATTGACAGGGAGGGAGCCCAGGATATATGTGTGGCTAACAGCAGAGGATTCTGTGGTCCCAGCATCTATGCACCATGCACTTATGACCACCTAGCTTTCTAGGCCACATGAAATGCATCCTTGTAACATCATTGTGTCATTTCAATAAATAGCCTTCTTAGTTGAATGGGAGTCAGTATGTCTATTTCAATTTTCAGAAGTTGACTAAGAAAAGAGTGGCATATCAAGGAAGGATTAACTGCTGAACTCTTCACAGCCAGGTGAGTTAATAACGGCTACCATTTATTGAATGCTTGCTACTTGAAAGACATTGTGCCAAGTACTTGATAGCCATCATTTCAGTTAATTCTTAAAATTCCCCATTCTAGGTCTTGTGGTAACTATTGTCTGCCCAGCTTTTCCCCTCTCTTTTCTTGTAACAATCCTTGCTGTACTGATCACAGGAATACAAAGCAGGACATGCCTGGGGCTCGGTGATAGTTTTAGGGGAAAGCATGTGCCTAGTTGAGCCAATATCAGAGTCCTTTGCCAGGATTTTTCAAAGCAGAGTTAGCAGGGAAATTTTAATTTTGGGTTGCTAGGCTGGGAGGGTGAAGGCTAGAGCTGCCTGGAGCCCGATTCCCTACCAGACGGGAGGTCTCTTGTGAAAGAAGGTGCCACTGACATGATGGTGTTCTCTTTACTAATCCCTGAAGTCTTTGGACCTGCCTCAATTTCTGAAGCACTTTGTAGGATTCAGTGGGCTCCCCGCTATCAGTCCATGATCCCCCCTTTTTGACTAAAGGCTAATCTGTTAGACTCAGTTCCTTTTTTTTTTTTTTTACATTTTTATTGATTTCAGAGGGAAATATCAATGATGAGAGATAATCTTTGATCAGCTGCCTCCTGCATGCCCCCTACTGGGGATTGAGCCCACAACCCGGGCATGTGCCCTTGACCAGAATCAAACCGGGGACCCTTCAGTCCACAGGCCAACACTCTATCCACTGAGCCAAACCAGTTAGGGCTCGATTAAGTTTCTTGCATTAATTAAATCTAATACATGTATTATGTCCTTGTTTTATAATGGTTGGGGGGGAGGTGGGGATGGGACCCAGAGGTAAAGTAACTCACCCCAGGTAGTACTGCCCTTGGCAGACTTAGGCTTCTGACTCAGGACTGGCTGCAAAGGCATAGCTCTTAACCACTAACTGATGTCTCCAGGGCCATGTTGGGTTCAAGGAGCCCATAGTGCAGTGTCATTTGGGGGTGAGTAGATAGAAGGATATGGTGATAGATCAGAGACCAAAAGGAGACAAAATGATGAAAGGCCTTGGAATGTTGTCTTGACTCAGTAAATCAAATCCCCTAAATTCACTCACAACCCTCATACCTTAATGTATCATTTAAATCAGCCTATACTGTAGATAAAAATATTATATCCTCAAAGAAGAACTTTCATATGTTCCATGGTGCTACTACATCATCTCAATTTCCTTAACAAGTCCCCTATTGTGACAATTTTATAATAATGAGATTGAGTACTTCTATCTTTTTAAGGACTCCCACTTTATTGAATAGAATCTTTTATGTTAATTTTTAACATATCCAGAATGAAAATGAGATAAAATATCCAAAGTGAGATTGTTAGGTCAGCATGTAGAGGTTAGTATAACCGGATGGTGTGAGATTCATACCAGAATAAACTAGATATGATAGCCCATGAGTAATCATCTCAAAATTGCAAACAAATTGATGTCTCTCTTAAATTGTATGCGGGCCGTTTTTGCTTAATTTTTTGCGCAAATGGCAACATTCAGTAAAATTACGATAACTTTAGTTTTACATATTTTTTTTCAATGAAACTTTTTGTGATTTACTATAAAATGTATACTGAATTATTTTTCTTAAATTTTAAACAGACAAATACTGGAAAACTCACTGGAAAATTGTGTTTACCAGTCAACGTAAAACGTATAAATACGTTTCCCGCATCCAGTGTGTTAAATTTTCAGCGATAAAACTGTTAATGACCATCATGGTACCACAATTTGTGTTTGTGATTATTTGCTGTTCTTCCTCCACCTTGCACTAGATTATGAATTCCAGGATGGCTGAGTCCACATCTATTCTGCTAACTTTTTGTTTCCCTACTTATTACTAGTATAGTGCTAGGGATATAGGTACTTAATATAGTCTTGTTAAGTGAGCAATGGAGTAGAGATTTGTTGGTAGACAAAGAAGACTGGTTTATAAATAAAAAGATTCTCAATCTTGAATTAGAATATTGCAAGAGAAAGCAGTAAGATACTATTTCTGGCAAAAATTTAGAAGTCTGGCAGAAGAAAAATGAGAGCTTGTATGTACTGCTGGCAGGTGGGTAAATTGGTATAATTATTTTGAGAGTAATTTAGAGATTTCCAGTAAAGTTGAAGCTAAGCATGCTTCATGACCCAAATGAGATGTATACCCTAGACTAGAAATTCTCCCGTGTGAGCACAAAGGCATACATGAGGATGCTCTTTGCGGTAATGTTTGAAATAGTGAAAATATGGACATAACACAAATGCCTGTCAGTAAGTGAATGGGTTAATAAGTTGTGGCATATTCTTATATAATACAACACAGCGCTTAAATGAAGGAACCAGAGCATCTGGCAAAACATGCTATCTCTGCCTATTCTCCTACGCCCATGCATTCTAAATGTTTGTTTTATTATGTGTCCTACTCTGGAAGGTAAGCTCCATGAGAGTAGAGATTGGGGGTGGGGAGCACATGTTATTGAAGCATAACATGCATACAAAAAAGTACAAAACAGCCAGTGAACAACTTGATGGTTGAGGGTGGCTACTTTCGGATCTTTTGTGTAGTGCCCTGTCCCAGCACAGAATTTCAAATATTTAACAAATACATGTATTAGCATGCCTACCATATTGAAAATAAAGTTACAGAGGGTTGCATATAATGTGGTATGTTATAACTAAAAGAAATCGATTAACCTGTTTTTATCATCTCGTGAGGTAAAAGTAGGAAGGTATTCAAATATCAGCTTCAGAATGTTGGTTTCCTCTGGAGCTAATGGGGAGAGGAATAGTAAGGAATAAAAGAAGGCTTAAACTCCTATCTTTTTAAAATATGGCAAGAGCCCTGGCCGACTTGGCTCAGTGGATAGAGCGTCGGCCTGTGGACTGAAGGGTCCCAGGTTCGATTCCGGTCAAGGGCACATGCCTGGGTTGCGGGCTCAACCCCTAGTAGG